ACCCCACACGCGCTGGCACGCGCCTAGGGCAAGCTGCAAGTCTCTGCACACGCTCCCACGCGCCCCCACGTGCTTGGGGCGCGTGGGACGCGCCCTCACACGCGCCTGGGGCGCGTGGGACGCGCCTCCACGCGCCTTCACGCGCGTGGAGGACAAAACCTCCATGGCTAGCGCGTGAGATCCACGCGCCAGCTTGCCCATTCTCTGGTCCACTCCTGGCGCGTGTGGAACACGCGCCAGGCTCACCTAACCGCTGCCACACCTGATCCGGGCCACCTTCGACGCCTCTTCTCACCGCCGGCGAAGCTCCGGCCGCCAGAAAAACGCCGGAAAAATTCCAAAAAATCCGGAAAAATCCCAGAAAATTAAATTAAGCCTCAAAAATTTCCCAAAAAATTCGAAAAAATTCCAGAAAATTACTGAAGCATAATTTAACCCTTTCGAACCCTCTTAAAGCTTCATAGCATCCTTTGATGAATATTACATGGCTTTAATAAATACTTACAATTTGAAATACAATGGAAAAAATTAAATTACATCATTGAATTTTCAAACGGCTAAAACAAAGCCTTAATTACATTCATCCAAAAATAAAATTACATTCTATATACCTATAAGCTTCATCCATGGCCCAAACACACATCATCATCCATTCACAATTATACATACATCAACATGTATTAATATATATCAACATAATAAATCATACATCAACATATATCAATAATTTTATATATGTATATATAATTTGGATCCATGAATATGATTTTTATAAACACATGTTCTCTAGTAATGAATCAAACCATGTGCTCTGATATCACTATTGGGAAACGTGCAAGTTTTTAAAACTTTTTAAGAGATTTGCAATCATAGATCTTGATTCATTACATGGATACAAGTTTTATGCAAAGATAAATAAAAGATGATGCATAATTCAATAAACAGATTGAATACTTACATCAAAGGTCTGAGTAAACCTTTTGAACTTTCCTCTAAAGTGAATGTTCTCACTTATTGTAGATCCCTTTAGCAAGATCATTTCTCCTTCCGTTCGATTATTATCTTCCCTTTAGGAATCACCAATATGCCTTGATGAATGACCTTGGAATCTAGGCTGGTGGTAGCCTCCTTTAGAAGAGAAAACAAAACCCTAAAATCTAGAGAGAGAAAGTGTATTCCTTTTTCTTGTTCTCCAAGTCACCCCTAAAATATACATGAACTCATGTATATATAGGCAAAATAAAAATAAGAATAAGGAAACAATAAATCATTCTCCATCTCTAATTCAACTTTCTCAATCCTAACATGACTCCAATATCAACTTGGGCTATTGGTGAGAATCCTTTTGGGCTTACTATTTTCTTGGCTCCTATAAATTAATAATTGGTCCGGTCCATTAAACCATGGACCCAATTCAATTAATTCATAAATTAATTTCTACTCCACTAAAAGAAATTAATTGCACTCCAATTAAATAGTAAATAACCTCTAAGTCAATGTTGCATTTTGACCCCTCTATACTTAATTATTTATCGGATAATTAAAGCCATCAATCCGACAACATAATTAATATAATTATTTTGTTACCTTTGATTATTTCCGGCTCGATCACAATAAAATATTTATTTGACAAAAAAATAATAATAATTTATTAAATAAATATATATAGAAAACATTTGTCTAAAACATACGAAGGCCTTCGAATTTAATTTGTGATCAACCATAATCAAAACAAAATAAATACAAATAGCACTAATGCAAATATTGAGAATATAGACCTCTAATTATTAATTACATAACTACCCAAAGTGTCGATCTAAGGATCCCGAGGTATCCCCGAACAAATCAAAGTAATTATTAATTAATAAAAGAGTCTATACTTCTCTCATGCTTGAGAGTCAAAAGTCATGACTGTGATAAAGAGCAATTGCATACGACAGCTCTCGCAATATATCTCAATCTATCGTGAACTCGGTTTAAGTCTTAACTAATTAAATGTCCATCCATAATTACCGACTTTAAACCATTTATGATCACTAATTTATATCATAGTATTAATTGCCATTACATACATATATAAATATATTTTGTAATCAAGCAGACACCATCAATTCCATAAAGAATCGAAAAATAATACATTCCATTCACCAATTGTATAATGCTTTAATAATAATATCCAAATAAGAAACCATGACTTTTACAATCCAAAATTAGAATTTGCTATGCTAGGGCACACATATCCTAACAGGTGGTGGCGACGACATTTATATATACACATATAAATATAAATATAAATATATATATATATATATATATATATACACAAACAAACATATATATATATATATATATACACACACAAACACAGACATATATATATACACAAGCACAACACCACCACCAGGAGACGGCAGCGTATCAGGCGAAGGAAACAACGGCAGGGCAGGCGAGCCATCATGGTGACGAGCTCCCGGGGAGCGACGGCGATGATGTCAGCGCAGGAGATCGAGGATGGCAGGGCCGACGAGATCGAGGGCAATCTTGGCACGGACGACGACATCAAAGGCGTCGTCGAGGAGGGAGAGGTTGATGTCGGACCTCGTTGTTACTCGTTGCCAAAGAGAAAATCAATTTCTAAAGTGATGATTACTTACTGAAAGAGAATTCTCTAATTCGCAGATGGTATGTGAAAATTTTCTTGAAGACAATTTCTTATATCAGAGAGAAAGAGAGAGAGTTGTGGAAAGAGAAAAAGTAACATAATATGTTCGTATATCTATGTGTATATATGAAGATAGATGTAGAGAGAATTTTCGTAACCTTATCTTCTCCGGCCGTCTTAATTATAAGGTTAAAAGGATTGGGTTTGGTTTAATATATCAATAATAATGGAAAATGTTGGGCATATGCTAATTTTTTTTTTCTTTCTAAATAGACATAATTTGTTTGACATTATTGGATTAACATAATTGGAAAAGATGACTATTACAATCGCAGCTCTTCAATTTGTTCACACCCAGTTCAAAGTCGTCCTCTCCGTCAGCGTTCTCCGCCGCCGGTAACAACAGACCCACTTCTCTGGTCCTTCACTTCACTGTAGATTGAGAAATCCCCATGGTTGCCGTTCTGAAACTCATTGGAATAATTGGGTCTTTATGTCGTGCGTTGATCCCCAACGTCTACTTTGGCAAGAGCAAGCAAAACGATGACGTTTTAATGTCCAATACAAGTACTGCTTATGTTGGCAATAAACGCTGTCGTTTTGTGCTAAAGGATAATATTATAATTTCAAAAATATGATTTTTTGATTTTTTAAATAAAAGGAAATATAATAAGGGTAATTTAATTATTTCACATATCTTTAACGGCCAATTGATAGAGTTGGAATAAAATGATAACATTGTTATATTATTGGGGGGTTTTTAAAATTGGTTGGGGTTTTATGATATTTTTTGAAAGTAGTGGAGATTTTGAGAAATTTCTCCTAAAAACAAATACACATACCCAAATTTTGACTCCACGAGGGTCGAACACAAACTTTCTTTTGGTGAAGACGTGGTATAACTTTCATTAGGTAGAGAAATCGTATAATTCGTATTGACAGTGAAAATGAATCAATTGTAACTCAAAATCCAAACCGGTCCAGCCCACTCAGCCAAGGAGGAGGCTTGACAGTGCCTTGACCCAGATACATACATGATGAAGGTACGACTCCAATTGGGGGCCCAAAGAATATAGTCCGGCCCATCAACTCCAAGCGTGAGAGCGAAAGAGAGAGTTTTTAGGGTAAGTGTAGACTTCTATAAATAGAAGTGAGTGAGGAAGAAAAGGCCCAAACATCAACCATTCACCGTTTGCTTATTTTGGAATGAACTTGCCTCCTTCAGGCCACTCTCTGAAGCCTCTGGAAGTATTTGAAGGTAGTGAGTGAAGGTGAGAGTTATATTGCATAGAGATCTCAAAACAGCAGCAGCTGATGTTGGGGATTAGTAACAAAATTCTGACTTGCAATTTCCAAATCAATTTGGGGCTGTAATTTGCAATATCGTAATTTTTGTTTACTTTTCTATCATATTTTTTGTTTTGTACTGTGGTTTGTTTATGTTACTTTATACCCATATGAGTTAATTATAAAGCCTTCAATTGTATCACAAATCAAAAGCCTTCAATTGTATCACAAATCAAATGTTATGGTATCAACAATGGTCCATCCTACCACAGCATCATATATAAACTAAAATATATGCTTTTTTAATTCTTTGCAGTCATTAATAAGAAAATTATCATCTATTATTTAGAAAAATGAGTACCGAACACCGCCAAAAGGCTCCAGAAACCAAAAATACACCTCACACTTAGAGAAAATTATTACCTGCAGCATTATACTATCCATGACCATTAATTCTCCGTTGACAAGAACTTTTCGATCTTCCTTTTCCCGTATGTTGACAATCTTCTTCCAGGCTTTTTTCAATCGTTTCTCTTTCTCTTTCTTTCTTTCTTTCTTTCTTTTCCCTTCTTCAATTATTTCTCATCCTCCATCTTTCTATTCCTTTCACCGGATGTTGACATTTAGCTGTTCACACAATACAACGCTTTGTTGAAACTGATATATTATATTCTAATCAAACCAAATTAGTTTTGAATGTGGATTTGGATTTGGATTTGGAAAAGGATTTGGAATTAGAATGCATAAGAGAGAAGGTGAGAGATTAGTGCGAGAATGATGTTTGCCTTTGGTCTGGAGAGGAGTCTGAGTTTTAAGGACTTTGGATTAGGAAGTCGATTTAGCCAGAAAATTGTAAAATATTTTACAATACTCTCTCTTTCGTTTGGATGAGGAAATAATTTATTTAGGTTTCATTTGTTTTAGCCTAAAATATTTTTTTTGTAAAATGTTTTTTATGCAACACTTTTGGTTTTTAAGAGAATTTGATAACTGACTCTACAACTTAACAAATTACTCCCCTTACCGGCACAAAATCTAATTCATCCAAATATAGAGTAGATAGTTCAAACATTCTCTAAACGAATAAATTTTTTTCAAAAACAACTCATTCACTGTAAACTTCAGTCAGAAATAGAAATTACTATACTCATCAAGATCGTTTATTCATCAAAACACCAGGACACCAAAAACCCCTAAACCACTACACCAACACCGTTCATCATTTTGATAGACTAAATTCATTCCACCTTAACCTGAAACACATCCGTCCTCTCCTCTTCCTTCACTTTGGGAACCGCAACCTTCAATACCCCATTCTTCATCTCAGCCTTGATTTCTTCGGGCTTGTAGAGATCGGGAGGGAGATCCAGCCTGCTGGAGTACCTGGGGCCGTACTCGTCTTCCTCCGATTCCTTCTCGCCTTCTCCTTTGATGATCAGAGTGTTCTGCTCCACAGATATCTTCACGTCTTCCTTGCTCAGACCGGGCATGTCCATTCTCAGATGGAGAGCATCCGCGTCCTCTCTCACGTCCCATCCTCTCCTCGATCCAGCTCCAGCTCCCATTCCACGAGACGCTGCCAGGAATGGATTTTCCATCATCTGGTCCATTAGGTTCAGCATCTGACTCAAGCTTCTTGTTGGAGAAAGTGGATCAAACACATCTGATACCAAATAAACCCCCGGTTCAAGTCAGACAACTAGCAATTCATGTTTGAAACCACACATATAGAACCGAATCAACAAAGCCAATAATCAATTCAGCATAAAGAGACTAACAAATCCGAGTTACAAATAGAAGAACAAAATCAGTCAGGAAAGGTCATTTTCTAAATGTATGTGTGAAACAGAAAATCAATTACATAGCTATAATAATTGATAAAACCACACCTAAACATTTGAATAAGCAAAATCAAGCTCGTAATTCGGAATCAAACAAGCAATACTCAAAGATGGAGAACAAATCCCGGACAGAGATCGACTACAACTACCTGAGAAGAAGCCAGGAACAGATTCGCGGCGGCGAGAGACTCCACGGTCGGAGCGGCGATCGACGTCGATGCTCCGGTCGTCGTCGTCGTAGTTGGTCATCTGAGCGTTGGTGTTGAAGGAACGAAGGACCGAAGCAGAGCGGATAGGGTTGCTAAGCCTGCTGAGGAGTGATGAACCAGCGAGTCTCCTGAGAGCAATTGACGAAGCCATTTTCAGAGCGCGCAACAAAACACAGATAACAATAGCTTTTGATCTGATTTTTGATGATTAGATAAGTCGCATTTGTAGAGATTTTATAGGACGTGAGTGCGTGGGGAAGGGGAAATGGAAAGAGGAGAGAGAGTGTGTAGAAAGTTCGAGACGAAGAAATTTAGAGAAGGTTCTGGAGAGTTACAGAGAACTACTTGAAACTTTTTTCTTTGTCACATTTGAGCCCCACCCTACACTTTTATTTATTAAATTCGTTTTAAAGCTTTTTGTAGGGGTTTGACCAAAGATATATAAGTTTAAAATTAGATTAATGTTAATTTGTTTGTAACTAAGATCTACTGTATCATGTATACTGCTAAAAGTTGGAACTATTAAATTTGAAAATTTAACATCACGTTTAGGGTGCAATTTGACATGTTAATTTGAATATTAAATCAAATTTAACTCATTTTTTCAGTGTTTTCATAAGTGCGTTTAACTTTAGAATGTAGATCAAATGTAAAAAAATTTATTCGAACTTAATCTAGAATAGACTTGAATTTAAATGTTGGCAACTCAAACCCAAGACCAAATTTTAACATTTTTTTTAAAAAATTTGCAATTTGAAATATTATATATATATATATATATATATATATATATAATTATGATCGGCAATTCCTTTTAGTTTTTTCTTCTTAATCCTCATTTTTTGTATGTCAATCATTAATTTGAAGAATTAACTCAAGATGGGCTCTTCCCTGATTTTGATATTATTATTATTATTATTTGTACATCTCTGTGTGCTTTATAATGGTACAAAACCAAATTATGGCAGCTACATTTTGATAAATTTTGTTTTCCCTCAATATATTCATCTATATAATAAGTAAATTTACAGAATAATCCCTTCACTATATATTTTCCCACGTATTTCCATAAAATGAATGAAATTACTGTCAAAGCCAATTTTGTTACTAACATAAGAAATTAAAGTATCTAAACTATTTTTTATACAATTTAAAAAAGGAAAGCCATTTTGTGCAACCTGGCGACCACAATGATACCATTTATAACAGCCAACACAAACCATTTATACACATATGGTGTATTAAACACCAATCAAACAGCTATCCATGCCACCCTTTTTACAATGGTGATAAGCAAAGTTCATTGACTGGCTTCTGTGAACGCTATATGTCTCTACTTACAAGCTCACAAATTAAAAGGATGGGATTGTTAATAACAGATTTAGTACATAATCTTCTTCCACCACCACTGTTCCAGGTGCGAAATAGACTTGAGAAGGTAAAAAAAAAAAAATGTTAGAAACCATTTCAGGCCTTTATTTTCCGAGCTCTTAACTATAAATATTAGTCGTTCAGTCACTGTTAATTATGGTGTTTAGTTAAAGAAACCTTGAAACAAGAAGACCTAACATTTTTAAAAGCACGAGATTTCACTTGGTGAAGAGAGAATTGTTCCAAAATAAGAAGAATTGCATCCGCCCAAAATTTTCTCAAAAATAAGAAGAATTACATCCACCCAAAAATTTGGGCAGTGACAAATAAACAATCATCCCAAACGAGACCTTGTCACCTCGTATGCCAAAAAGCATGCTGAGTTTGCTGGAACACTCCGTGCCATGGCAGGTCCAAAACCTTTGTACAGGCCCTTGACTCCCTCTTTGGCCAAGATCTTTCTAAAAGCATCGATGGAGCCAGAGAATTTAGGATTTTTGTAGTCGTCGACCTGAAGTACACTCTTGACAACATCGGTTGGGTAGACAGAAACCCAGTAGGAAGCTCCAGCCAAGCCTCCGGCAACAATTAGAGAACCTCTTCCTAATCCTGAAGTGTCTTGGCCTCCTGCAAGGAACTGCTTTAGGGCTTCATAGACACCAAACATTGCAGCATTTCCCGGTACTTCACGTGCCATGGTTGGAACCAAACCCTTGAAGAGACCCCTTGCACCTCCTTCTGATCGTAGAACATGCCTTGCCACATCCATTGGCCCTCCATACTTCACTGCCACACCAGCAGAGCCAGAGTCTGCCAATGCACTCTGGGCTTGCAATCTGCTTTCCCATAAAAATGATGAACACCGAAATATGAGAAATACTAAAGGTTCTTCCAGGTTCTTTATCAATTAAAAATAGTGAAAATTCGCATAGCCAAAAAATATATGCAGGAAGTTAATTTGGAATTCAGAAACCACTAAAGACAGTAACATACTAAAGGTTCTTCCAGGTTCTTTATCAATAAAAAATAGTGAAAGTTCGCATATCTAGAAAATATACGCAACAAAAAGTCCACGGAAGATAGTAACACAAACAAGTATCAGAAACATCAAATATTAATTTGAATGAAGGGGAAAAAGAATGGAAACTATCGTAGTTTCATTTAGATATTATTCCAGATCATTCAGAAAATTCTCAAATAGATAAGGAAATATTTAAAATAACCAAGATATTCAATTTTTGTTTGCAAAATTACTAGCTGGTACTCAATACAACTAGGTAACGTAGGCCTGTTAAGAAGGTAAAGAAAAAATGCACCATAAAACTGACCTGCATTTGATCAATTCAGTTGGACAAGCCAGAAAGGACACGGCAAGTCCAGCCCAAGCTCCGCAAACAATCTGCTGGTTCACTGTAAGGGGGGCACCAGGTTGGGACCTCAACAATGCTTCCATTTGTCCCCTAACTGAGAAGAGGACTGCATTGAAGGCTGCCACAGTGGCAAGCGGAGCACCCATACCTTTGTACAGACCCCTTGGTCCTTCTGCAGCTAATGTTTGTCTGACAGCATCCATTGCACCACCATATTTGGGAGGTTGGCCTGGGAGAGGAGCAGGCTGGCTTTGGAGCTTGACCTTGATGGTATCAAAAGGGTGCCCAACTATCAACTGCGCTGCTCCTCCAACAGTACCAGAAGTCAGGTCCTTGGCTACATCACCCATCTGCAACTCTTAAAGAACAAGGGGAAAAAAGAAAAAGAAAAAGAAAAACTCAGTTTACGACATATATTCACAATTTCACATTATAGATGGATCCGTGTTATATATTATAACGAAAAATAATAATGTTTGTCAATGGTGAAACCAAATTGAAATATTGGGGTTGTATTAGGACAGGAACGGAGCCACTAATTAAGGGCCCAGTGAGGGTAGCTGTCCCCATTATCTTTTCATATATACACATCTTTTCATAATTCCAAAATCATATTTGTATATTAATTTAGCTAATCCACTTAATTGAGATGCTGAAGAATTCAATAATTTTGCTCCTGACTAGTCCCTGTTGCATATTTTAATTTCTTTATATGCTTATATTCAAATTTTACTTTTATTACATATGTGTCTTACTTTGATCAGGCTCGTGCCTTACATTAAGCCTTCTTGTGCCTCAACCTTTAAAAACTATTTATCCAGTGTATCAATAATGAAAAATGGCAAAACATGAGACCTTTAGTCAATATTCGAAGTTCTATCGTTTTAATTGATGTATGAACAAAAACCAAGTACATTGCAACAATGTTATCAAAGATGCTAAAGACCATGGAAAAACTTCTTCGTTTCCAAACATACACAAAACCCATCATACCCCCAGTAAAGCAAAGCACGTACAGACGCTGCTTCTTCCTTAATATAAGCAATTCTCCATTTTTCACTCCATTTTTCTGATAGATTTTATAGCAGCGTGTACAATGTTCAGGAATGGCCTTTCACCAAAAATGAACATGTACGAAAATTCCAAGTGATGCGTGCTTGTTGCTCTCTTTCACTTGGCAAGGTCAATATTGGTGGCAGAGGGGAAGAATATATAGAAGGAAAGGAAATTTTGAGTTCGCAATGTTAAGGTATCCTTGAATTAGTATAACAAATTGAAAGAAATAGGGAAAAAAGCATAAAAAGTGTTGTCCACTGTAATAACCAATTACATGACAAATATTCTTTCCACATTTGTTGTAAAATTTTAAATCATATGGGGGATTGTTGGAGTAATTTAAATGTTCTCACATTGAGAGAGGCAGCAGTACCATGTTCTATTATGCTCGTAGGTTCTCCCCTAGGCATCCTCACTAAGGTCTCACAAACATGCACTAACTTCTATTTGATTGGCTTGGTATATAATTTTGCAACCCACATGTATTTTAGTTGTTCTCTAGTTGGAAACAGTAACCATGGGAGAAGTTTTAGCCCACATCACCATATTTCCATAACCTTAGTAGCCAGTTTTATTTTGAATCCAACTCGAATAAAAATGCCTAAGGAGAAAAAAATAAATAAATAAATAAATAAAAACAGAATATGTTCTCTTCTATTCTCTCTCCCTCCACTATACTAGCTACCTTTTGCTCCATCTGTTCTCATTCCTTATCAATTACTTTGTTAATTGTTTTTTAACAAGTTGATGTAAGGGTGATTTCGATTCATGGGAAAGGCTTAGCTGTTAAATGCAAATATTGCATATTTAGATCCATTTTTTTTCTTTCTAAACCCTAATTTAGTTTATTGTAACAATATTACTTAGCATTGTGTGTCGAATTAATTATAACCTAATTTTCCCTAACTTTATTGCTGAGAACACTAGACATCCAAAATTCTACTATAACTAGCTATTTGGGGCACTAATTTTCAAACAATCAATCTATAAAAGCAATTAAATTAATATATAGCAATGTAAATCATGTGATATTATCTGTTTTTTTCCATAAAGGATGTGATCCTAATTCATATAATTATGTTTTGAAAGGCACCAAAAGCTCTGAAGATTCACTTCTTGTGCAGAATTAAAATTACGAGCTCTGATATAAGACCAAACAAAAAAATGGAGCCAGAATGAAATGCATTCACCAGTATATACTTGCATCAAATGGTATAACAGAGTCTATCAATTCAATCAAACACCCCTGTTCTGAAATCTAAACTTATTGATAATGACCAAAAGATAGAAACCCAAATGAAATCTAAACTCATCGAGTCCAAACATCATTGAGTACAACAAAATTTGCAGATTTAATGGACATTGAAAGTTCACTCAGATGAAATTTGAAAATAAAGAACATAAAACACTTGAAAGAGAACTTGGAACCTTACCGCAGCCGGCTCAAATCGTTTTTCAGCAAGGAACTTGGACAATGAAATCCGAAAGAGAAAAAACAATACAAATTAGATTTATAGATGGTTATGAATTTGTGTTTGTGTATAAAGAAAAATTGGTGAAAAAATTCCAATCTGCTCTAATTTCCAAATTATGAACCTTATGCCAGCGAAAAAGGAGGTAATTATTGCAGCTGAGTGATGGGTTTGTGTGAGAATGTATTATGAAAATGGAAACAAAATTGTTTATTATATAGCATGGAATCTTTAGAGAATCAGAGCACAACCAATAATGGTTGGTCTTGAGTATATATATGTATATGTATATGCATATGTATATGGATGTAGAGAGAGAGAGACGTGGATTAGATGAGAACCAGAGAGAGAAGGCAGATGAGGACACAGATTTGTAGGCGAATCCCAACCTCTCTCCACCAAGAAAGAGATGGGCGAGGTGGGTTGTGTCATGTGTGTGACTGACTGTGTAAGTGAGGGAGAGTGGCTGAAATACAGGAGGAGTTGCAAGTGAGCATCGTACGTAAGTCGTAACGTAGCATTGGCCAAACAATGGGAACTTGACTAGACCCGCACGCACTGCACCTAAGCCACCGCAACATTTCCAATATTCTCATTCATTTTCTTCCTCTAGCCTTGCTGTACGTTTTTAAAAACAATTAAATCCATCGTATTTTAATATATCATTTAAAGTTGAAAGTAATATCATTTAAACACAATTTAATAGTGTTGAAAGCTCTTTCAATGAGTGTAGTGCCATGGTTTTGGTTCAATTTTTTTTAAAAAACATTAAGTTACTATCGGTTGGTCAAACCAATTATTTTAGATTTCATTTAGGTTTGAATTTTATAGTTCACGGACCGTAGAACACCGTGTGCAAAAACATGGCTTTTGATTGAATTGACACTTATTATTTACTCCGCATTTGATGTATGTATGACACATGTTTATTTTTAATTTAACATACTTATAAAAATATGGACAATTTGTATATTTGTGAGAATTTACAATATACATCGATCAATAATAAACTGACATGTGATTTATAATTTTCAAATAAAAAATGGTAGAGATAGATTATTCAGTTACCAAATCAGAGATAATGATTTGATTATCATATATGATTTGGTAATTAAAATAAAACGTGATCATTTATTATTGATTCACATAAGCGATGATTATGTTATGGATCTTCATTAGCGAGGACCTAAGAGCATCTCCAGCAGTCTTAAAACACTCTTTTGTGTAAAATATATACTGTCACATATAATGTGTAATTTTTTTTTTTTTTTTTTTTTTTTTTTTTTTTTTTTTTTTTATCTCCAGCAATCTGTTAAGATACACCGTCCACGTCACCAATGTGTAAAATTGTTGTGTATTTTACAAAACCTTTTTACACAGCCACATCAACATATTTTCATTCTATTCCTTTTTTCTCATTCCATTAACGAATCAATCCTATATTAAGTAGGTTTGTAAAAATTATGTGGGGTCCAGGCATGTAACGACCCAAAACTAAATACCAATTATAAAAAAAAAAAAATTAAAAATTCAGCATGACCTATGCTAAAAAGAAGCCTACAACCACCTGCTCAAATGAAGAAAAAAAATGCAATGGCCCTTCCTAATCCTTCAAGACTTATTCAAGTTGTCCCAACACACAATACAAAAAAAATATAATACATTCCAGCATCCCTTTCATTCATTCATTATACCTCGACATAGTTCATCTCAAGGTGGAACATCCACATACCATTTAATCCAATTATCGTAATTACAGTCCCAAAAATATATGATTAAAATCTAAAATCCATGTCTTACAACGTTTAGACAACTTATGCTAAAGTTACAACCCATAAATATAATTGCAATAACAAGAGTCCATAAATCTCTATACCAAATATAGCAAACTAAGGTTTTACAAAAACATATAGGACTTAGATACAAAAATAGCAAAATGGTCTTCTAATATAAATTAGGCCTGTGGTGGAACGTTATCTGCTACTTCTTTCCCGTTTCTTGAGAAAAATGTTAAATATAAGGGGTGAGCAAAATTGCTTAGTATGTGGTGCCTAAGACACACTTCTTGTGGTCCCGTGAATCCAAATAATGAATAGGAATAAAAGATAAGGGTCATGCTATGCCGGAAAATAATACAACATAACTTTCAATTTCAAATAAACAATGTCATGCCATGATATGCAATGTCAAGTATGTCGCTCCCCATTTTAAAAATTCAAATCAATCGCTTTTCAAACTGTTAATATAACCCGCCCTTTGGTGACTCCGCAGCGACACGAGAGAAGGATTGGCTACTGTCCCTAACCCTTGGTACCCCCGCGGCGTCATTTGGGGCCCAGCTAGCTCAACCACGCTAAGGTATTTTTCCCTAATTCTCTCTAGGTTACATTAACACACTGACCCTTTAGTGACTCCGCAGCGACCGAGTTTTCTCAAAACCGTTTTATCAAAATTTTCCCCAAAAATCCCTTTTTCATCCTTTTTAAATCACTTTGCCCTTTTTCTTTCATGCCCAATGATATGGATGTATGTCATATGCTTTACCATTTCCAAGGAATTAAAGAAATTTCTACTATACAATTTAGCATGCATCCATACAGTCATTTTAGCAAGATAATAAACACTTAGGCATAAAAATTAATACTTTAGCATATTTTTCACATAATTCCGTCAACAAACATAAGTATAGATTTCAGTTACAACAATTATATCATTTTTCAAGGAAAATCAATTTAAATAAGGCATGTTTCTCATATTATTTAACAAATATACATATTTAACATGCTTCCTCCTAATAATTTCTAACAAGTTAATAATCATCATAGGCATGAAAATTTAACATTTAAGCAAGTTCTACATACAATTCAAGTAATACATATAATCATTTTAGCCATACACAACATATATATCATTAAAAAGGCAAACAACTCAAATTAAACATGCTAGATAACAATTATTGGAAGAAAACTCACAAAGAAATAAGAAATTGGGCATTAGAGACCCCTGCCTCAAGATTATGCAAAACCCCCAAATTGATACCCTAAATTTTGAAAATCAAGGAGTGCACCAAACTATAAATTGTTCTTATCAACTTGTAAATCTTGTCGTGAGCTTCAATTTACCGCAAACGGCACTTAAAAACACCAAGAATTGAGAAAGAAATTGAAGTTTTGTTGTTAAAGAAAGAAAAAAAGAAAAATAAGAAGAAATATAATGCCGAGGAGAAATGAAGGTTTTTTGAGGCCAAAATAATGGCCTTTTGGCCTTTAGAAGAGTGAGTAGGGAGTGGGCCCCACCACTAAACCACTAAACATTAAACCCATTTATTTATTTTTTTTATTTACATTATATCTATATATATATATAAATTCATAAACCTTACAAGGCATGACACTTGTTAGTAATTATTGTGGAAAATATTTTTACACAAAAGGTAAAACAATCGCTGGAGTTAAAAATAAATAATCCAAAATTTTTGTATAAATCTATTATGACACATTATATTAACACAAAAATATATATACAATGATTGGAGATGCTCTAAGTATTGTCAAAAAAATAAAGATAATTTATATTGAGATTTCTTAAAGTTTATAAAAATATTATTGAGTTTTCACATTCAAAGCCTGTAATGCCTGTGTTATGCATATACATATATGTAATTGTGTGTGTGTGGAGTGAATTTAAAAGCAAAAGAAAAAGAGAAAATAAAATAAAAATTGGTGGGGCCCACAATTGTTTTAAGTGGTCATAAGACCACGTTTTTTTTTCTTTTTTCTTGTTCTCTGCTTTCTTCTCTCTCGCAGCCTCTCTGTTCTCTGTATTTTTTTTTTTTTTTTTTACAACTTCAAATCTTGATTTCTCTTTCATCCCTTGGTAATTTTGAGTGCCGTTTGCGGCAAAATGGAGAGCATGTGTATAGTGAGCTCTACACATGTGTACCAGCAATTTCAGTGTTGAGCAACTTAGGGAGTTCGAAAATCTTGACCCATTTTGAGGGTTTGTGGTGCAAATTGGGGGTTTTGCATGTAATAAAGGTAGGGGTCTCTAATTCACACTATCTTGCTCTTTTGTGAGTCATTCTACCATAATTGTTGTCAAGCATGATCAATTTGATTTGTTTGCCTTTTAAATGACTTGATTTTGTATATATAGCATGTGAGTATGTGAAATTGTTGAATTGTATGAAAATTATACTTGATTATAGGATTCTCTATATTATTGTGTTGATAAATTGTTAGAAATTATTCATGAAAGTTTATGAAAATTCTCCTAAAATTATTGTAAAGTATGCTTAATATGTTAATTGTCATGCCTAAGTGTTTATTATATGGATGCATGCTAAATTGTGTAGTAGAAATTTTTCTTTAATTTTTTTTGAAATAGTAAAAGCATGTGACATACATCCATAGCATTGAGCATGAAAGAAAAAGGGTACAATGTTTTGATAAGAATGAAAAAGGGAATTTTTGGAGAGAGTTTGATGAAACAGTTTTTGAGAAAAATCCGGTCACCGCGGAGTCACCAAATGGCCGGTGTGTTAATATAGCCTGGGGGGAATTTGGGAGATTGTCTTAGCGTGGTTGAGCTATCTAGACCCCAAATGACGTTGCGGAGGTACCAAAGGTCAGGGACAGTAGCCAATCCTTCTCTCGTGTCACTGCAGAATCACCAAAGGGCGGCTTATATTAACAGTTTATGAAGTGATGATGTTTTCTGAAAATGGGGACTGACATGCATAACATTGCATTCATGGCACAAAATTTATTTGTTTTGAACTTAGAATTGATATTGTGTTTTCCCGGCTTTGCATGACCCCAAATTCCTATTGCCCTATTCCTTGTTGGATTCACGAGGACACAAGAGGTGTGTCTTAGGCACCACCTACTGAGCAATTTTGTTCACCCCTTTTATTTAACATTTTTTTCAGGAAATGGGAAAGAAGTGGCGGATGACATTCTACCACTGACTTAATATGGATTAGGAGTTTCTTTTGTTATTTTTGTACTTGGGTCTCACTATTTTGTAAGACTAAGCATAATGTATTTTGTACGACGACTCATGGACTTTTAATATTTTAATTATACCTATGGGCTGTAACTTTTGTATGAGCTGTCTAAACGTTGTAAAACATGGACATTTGATATAAATCCTGTATTTTAGGATTGTAATTATGATACCTGGATGATATAGTATGTGGTTGTACTACCATGGAATGTATTAGATGTTTATTGTGTTGGGACATGTTAAAAATATTTTTAAACAGGTTGTTGTAGGACGATTTTTAGCGGAGGTCATGCCGAATTGTTTTTTAAAATTTTGGCATCAATTAGGG